GTACAAGTCCTCTGCAGCTGGCACACCTATCCGCACTTTTGCTGAAGCAGGAGATCCTATACCATTTCAGGATCTACTGATATCCCTACAGGATCTCTTTCATAAAAGTGACTATCCAGTATCTTCTTAATAATGTCCACTGATGAAGCAACCACAATGTCCGAAGGAAAGCTGTTCCACTGCTTAATTGTCTTCATTTTAAGGAAGATTCTCCTTAAAGATTAAAGGTTGCTTCTCTCCTTGATTATTTTACATGCATTGTGCCTTCTTCTGCCCTCTGGTGCTTTGGAAAATAAATTGCCCCCCTCCTTTTTGTGGCAGCCTCTCAAGTATTAGAATACTGCTATTATGTCACACCTAATCCTTTTCTGTAGAGTAGCCACCCCCAAATCCTGCAACCATTCTTCGTATGTTTTAATCTTCAGGCCTTTAATCATTTAGCTGCTCTTCTTTGCACTTTCACCAAAGTCTAAAAATCTTTTTTTGTTTTTTTCATTTTGTTGGATTCAACCTTGACTCATTTGGATCAGAAAGGCACAATAGGCATACACATACAAATCTAGAGATATGGTGGGTCACCGGTTAGAACGCAGTACTACAGCCAGGAGTTTGATCCTGACTGGCTCATGATTGGGGCAGTCTTTAATCCTAATGAGGTCACTAAAATGAGGACCGAGAAGTGGTATATAAGTCTAAGTGGAATTACTATTTCTATATAGTTTCTGCTGAGCATGGATCCTTGTATAAGAAATAAGATGACCATTCTGAGCAAAACTCTTTCCACATTCCATGCATTTGAATAGCTCCTCCCCTTTGTGGCTTCTTTTATGGAAAATAAGAGTGGATCTGTTTGTGGCTTCTAAGGCCACTGCTCTGAGCAAAGGTCTTTCCACACTCCATGCATTTAAAAGGTTTCTCTCCTGTGTGGATCTTTTTGTGCTTTTTAAGAACACTGTCGTAAGCAAAGGTCTTTCCACACTCCATGCATTTAAATGGTTTCTCTCCTGTGTGGATCTTTTTGTGCTTTTTAAGAACACTGTCGTAAGCAAAGGTCTTTCCACACTCCATGCATTTAAAGGGTTTTTCTCCTGTGTGGATCATTCTGTGGCTTCTAAGTCCAGTGCGATCAGTAAATGTCTTTCCACACTCCATGCATTTATATGGCTTCTCCCCTGTGTGGATCATCTTATGGTAAATAAGTGTAGAGCTATGAGTAAATGTCTTCCCACACTCCATGCATTTAAATGGTTTCTCTCCTGTGTGGATCTTTTTGTGCCTTTCAAGATCACTGTTCCGAGCAAAGGTCTTTCCACACTGCATGCATTTATATGGCTTCTCCCCTGTGTGGATCCTTTTATGCACAGTAAGTGTATTGCTATGAGCAAAGGTTTTTCCACACACTAGGCATTCATATGGTTTCTCCCCTGTGTGGATCCTTTTATGGACAGAAAGGTGCCCGTTTGTTCTAAAACATTTTCCACATTCCAAACATTTATAAGGTTTCTCTTTTGTTTCAATCACTTTTTGGGATGTAAGGATGTTACTCCCAAGAGAAAGAATGAATGTCCCATTGTAATTTTGTCCATTGTGTCTTCTTATAGCATCTTCTCCTTTGTTTTGGGTTAAATAGTGTTCATTTACTTGTACTTTAGCTTTGATTAGCTTCACACTTTTTCCAGTATATTTTTTCCCTATTTTCTCTTCTTGGGCAAGAAAGTCTTGCACTGAAGCATTACTGGAAGGTGAACTTTTCTGGTTGCAATTCTTTGACTGGTTTCTCTCATGGCTTTCAAATTCCATTCGCATTCCAAACTTCTCTGTTGCATCTTTAACATTGATCACTTGGAACAGTTCACAGGAATCTTGATTCTCCTGCCCATTATTACCTTCAAAGCAAAACAGAAATGAAAATGATGACAAAGTTAGAGAAAAGGATCAAAGTGTAGAAGTCAAGTGAATTTCCTTCTGAATTTCTATGAAATTCCATTAGGTTGTATGTTTGTATGTCTACAGTGCTGTGATATAGACATGATGATTTCTATATTGATGAGTCATAAAAGCTTTGAAAATATCTAGAAAATATCTCTTTCCTTACAGTTATCTCTATATATGCAAATCTCACTCAGTTTTGAGTCAAAGAGTAATCAGGAGAAACATCCAAGGAGAATTAGGAGAAAACTTAAGATTTATTGGGGTGGCTTAATTTCAGCAGAGACTTGTGAGAAATGAAGCAATTTTGAAACAAGCTCCTTCTTTCCAGGTGTAACTTGGAGCAGCTGCTCTACAGCATCTGGGGGTCGGGCGGGAAAAGGCATCAGCCTTTTCTCCATCCCAGCAGTGAGATTTTGGAGATAAATCCCTTGCTTAAAGCCTCCCATTGACTTGTTAAACATTCTTCATGCTGAGCCTGGAAAGGTTGGGATGCTTCAAGAATGGCTTCAAGAATCACTGCCCCAAAGTCCCATCAGCTTGCAAGGGCTCCTTGGCTGGATCTGGTACAGGCATCTGTACACAGAGAACGGAGGCCTGAAGTCCTTTAGTATGAGATCACAGAAGACCAGTAGTGCAAGATCTCAGGCTACTAATCTTACTTGATCTTGCACTGCAGTACTTTAGGCCTGTGTTCTTTTAAGAACTGAGGACTGCATGAGATCCAGAACAAAAGTCTTTGAAAATGAAAAGAGGACTGCATCTGAAGTATTTGGGGGAGGGCTGGTTGTAGCTTGGAATGGTCGCTAAGTAAACTTCTGTAACTTGGGGATTACCTGTACCCTAGTATGCTCTGAGACACACTGCATGAGGCCCTTTTTTAAAAAATTACATTGGGTGAATGCTCTTCCATGGGCTGTGTGTGAAAGTTCTGTTCTCACACAATTTGGGGAGTTTTCAGAGGACAAATGACAACACACACCCTTCACACGACCTCCAGAGGACACATAAAAACACACCTCATTCTTTTCAACCTCCACAGATAAATTCAAATAGAAATGGAAAATTACAGATAAGAAATAACACAGAAAGCATTTCAGCAAAGAAACATTGACTCTTTCCTTCCTTGGAGCATCAGAAGGCCAGATCTTTTCCTTCTCCCTCCCAAGAAACAATATCCAATTAGTGTTTTTTAATAAAAAAGCTAACTATAATCTGTCTTCTTGAACTCTCTGATTACGGACCAGAAAACTCTTACCCAGAGAGACCACGTTCCTATGGTTTTCAAGCATGACTTCCGAATGCAGCGCTTTCTGGTCAGGATTCAGTTGAGACCATTCCTCCTCAGAGAAATACACAGCTACCTCCTCGAAGGACACAAGACCCTCCTGGACATGGAAAAAAGAAGAGAACAGGAGGATTTGAGAGATCTGTTCATCTTCATCATTAATTTAGATGATAGAGGGGAACCCATCAAATTTGCAGAGAAGACCAGATTGACAGGAATACCAACACTCCAGGAAGATAACCTCCAGATATAAAAGGATTGACACATTGGATCCCATCTAACAAAATGAAATGAACAATCAGAAATGTAGGGTTCTACATTTAGGAAAGAAAAACCAAATATACTGGCAAAGATGATACCTGTCTCAAGAGTAGTAAGTGCAACAGGGATCTTGGAGTCCTAGTGGACAACCGCTTAAACATGAGTCACCACTATGCTTCAGTTGCCCCCCCCCAAAAAAAAACCTTCAATAGAACCATAGGCTGCATTAAGAGGGATAGAATCAAGATGATATAAAGTGTTAGTACCACTTTATAATGCCTTGGTAAGACCACACTTGGAATATTGCATGCAGTTTTGGTTGCCAGATGTAAAAAAGGTCTTGGGACTCTAGAAAGAGTGTAGAGAAGAGCAACAACAATTATTAGTGGACTGGAAGTTAAAACATATAAACAACGATTGCTGGAATTTGGCATGTCTAGTTTCATGAAAAGAAGGACTAGGGGAGACATGATAGTTGTGTTCCAAGAAGCAATGGATGGAATTCAAGGAGAGAATTCAAGGAGAGAACCAACCTACAAATAGAGAAATTTCCTGACAGTGAGAACAATTAATTAGTGGAATGACTTCCCTCCAGAAATTGTGGTTGCTCCAACACTGGAGGTGTTTATGAAGAAATTGGATAGCCATTTATCTGAAATGTTATAGGGCTTTCTGTCTGAGCAGGGGGTTGGACTAGAACACCTCCAAGATCCCTATCAACTTTGTTATTCTATTCTATTGTTCCCAAATTCCCAAAGCAGAGATATGTTAAATGGCTGTGGGTTATACAAGTCCTATTCTTAGGTGAGAAAATGGGCAAATCTGAAAACTGCTTTTACTGAAGAAATATTTGGGGAATTTTTAACAAGTTCATTGATTCTGAAAAATCTTCAGTGCCTTTCAGTAAAGTAACCCCACTTCTGGATCAACCGATCTATCGCTCTGTCTATCATTGATTGATCTACTAGTCTGAGCCATTGGCTGAAAGGAAGAAAGCAAAGAGGAAAAAATTCCCTGGGAAAATCATTTCTCAGCCTTTGCAAAACAGGAATGTTTCATCTCCTAATCGAGGTGCAAAGCAGAGGATTGGAAATTATTTTCCAGCCCAAAGTACCATGACTACATGCTCAACATGGTCACTCTCTTTGGATTTTAATAATATGCTTTATTTTTTAATATGATTTGCTGATTTTTGAACTACAGGTTATAAATAAGTCAAAGAATTACCAAAAAAAGGGGGGGGGTCTCTCTAGCAGTTCCTGCCACTATGATATGTTTATTTCTTGAAGGACCTTTAAAAATTGCTTCTTGTAAACTCCAAGTTGGAGGAGAACCTAGCAGAACAAGATAACCAGAGGAAGCTATGCTGGCTGACAGCAACTTGAACCTGCTATTCTGCTTTCCATCTTGTGAAAGAACAGAAAAATAATCCAAGCCAAAGAAAGAGGGGAAATAGAAAGAGAGAGACCACTTCACTTCCTGAAGGGAGAATAGAAATCTAATAAACTTTTCCTTTTCTTACTTGATTTGGAGGTTCAACTGCTGTTTGATCTCCATCATAAAAATCAGAAAGCTTCATTCTTTGTTTCTCTGTAAGGAATAAATAAATTTCCAAATGCATAATTAACAAAATAGAAGGAGGTATTCTATAGGAAAGAAGAGAGAGCGAAGGGAAGACAGATGGGGAATCGGAGGATCTTCCATTACCTCCTGAGGTGTCCTGACTTTGATCTTCCCAAGGGATCCTCCTGAAAAATAGCTCCTGAGAGGGATTTGATGGGTTCTTCTTTCCCTCAGGATCTCTGATCTCCACAGTGCAGCACTTCAAATAGGAGGAAGGAAG